CTCTAAACTTAACATTTTAAGTGTCATGTGATGTGTACAGTTTCTTTTCTCATCTAGTCTATTTAGAACTCTATATGCCTTCTGTTCTTGGGTGTCTATATCTGTCTCAAGATTTGGGAATTTTTCTGCTATAATTGTGTTGAATACCTTTCTTCTGCCTTTAGTTTGTATCTCATTTCCTCCTATACCCTGTGGATTCTTAGGTTTGGTCTCATAATTATGTGACAGAGTTCTTGAAAATTGTGCCATTGTTTTTTTATTGCAGTCTCAATGTAGAATTTCTTGACCTTGCCTTCCATTTCTGATATTTTTTCTTCTGCGTAGTTGGTGATCCTGTCCAACATTTCTGGTGGTTTTGTTGTTTTGGTTTTTTTCAGAATCTCATTGTCCTTGTTGAACTTTTCATTCGTGTTGCTAATTCCAGGTCTTGAATTGATTTTCTTACATTATTTAGCTGTTTGAAACTTCTTTTAAGGTAACTACTCATTTAAAAAAGTATCCTTTTGAGTTTCTCATCTAGCTTTTCAGCTGTTTCAGTGTCTTTCAGTTGTGGGGGGAGGGTTATGAACTTTTGAAGGAGATACACTGCCTTGATTTTTCATATTTTTTGTGTTTCTGTGTTGTGATTGTGTTGGGATGGATGACTATTTGTTTAGTTTTATTTATTTATTTTGGAGTCTTCTTAGTGGAGAATCTTCTTGACCACACTCCCTACTATGACTCAGGAAGAGAAAGCAGGCAGGACTAACAATTCAGGAACTTATCATGTATTTAAATATAGTATAATACAGTTACCTGAATGGGTAGTCTCTGGAAAACTCTGGTCAGATGATTCCTAGGTATTTACTTTCTGCTTGAAAAGAATCTAGGCAAGATGCAGAAATGTAGTAAAGTTTATTAAAGGTGAGAGGAAGTTACCATAAAGAAAGCAGTGATGTCTTTGTTTAAAGGGCCTTTTATAAATTCAAAGGGCAACTGATGAGAAAAATCTGGGTGGTCTTTGTGGGATGGGCTAGGGTGGTATGTTTGATTCACTCTGAGCATGCACTTAAGCTAGTACTTTAATTACCTGTATGAAGTGCAATCAATATTCATGTTTTCTCAGCAAAGGACTTTTACTTGGGAGGTAATCTGGATAGGACAGAATTGCCTCAAGGCTTTCTGTCTTACAGTCTTTACAATTTACAGCTACAGAGTATTTATAGTTGAAAAGAAATTTGCAACTGGAAAGGATAGCATTGGGTTGAAATAAGGGGTTTAGCATGAAATGCACTGGGAAAGCCATGCTGTGGTGCCTGAAAGTCCCAGAGCTTTTTTTTTTTTTTTTTTTTTTTTTACTATTTACTAGCCTACATCAAAACCATTGGATCTGTCAACCATACCTCTGCCCCCATAAGGTTAGAAAGCAAAGGAACTAGAATACTTCTAGGATACACTAGGAGTTCAAAAATTATTAGATCCAGAGGTAAATTTACAAGTATTAAAAAAGAAGGGATAGAGAAAGGAAAAGGGAGAGAGAAAGCAAAATAGGAAAGGGAGGAAAAGAATATGGGTAAAGGGATAGGAACACCTGGAGTGATGGTGAGAGAGCAGGTAAAATAAGTTCAGCAAAAGACATAATGATCAAAAGAAAAAATAATAAAGGGAAAGAACAAAACAACAACTACAACAATCCAACTACAATTGTCACTATTAAAAAAAAAAATGTGGCCGGATACTCAAGAACAGGGAGATGGGACACGGAGGCAGTTAAGCAGGAAGCAACGAGGGGCCTTACCTTATATACCCTTGCAAGCAGGTTACAGAGCAAGAAGCAAGGTTTAACCCACATATGGTTGCATGCAACTCTATTGGCTACATCACCCCCCAGTGCTATGTGACCTTCTTCACATTTAGATTCTTTAAGTTTTACTTTATCTCCCTGCTATGCCTTCCCCTCCCCCTGCTACATTATCAGAACACAGACTTGCTTGTTTTCTTTTCTGGCCCTCCTCTCTGCTACAAATACACTAGTTAGTATTTCTTCCTTGCTGAGGAGCAGAGGGTGGATATTTACCCCCCACCCAGTCTTGTCTTTTCAGTTTTCTTTGTTATAGGGCAGCTTTTTTTATTTGTTTGTTTTATCTTTGAATATGTAAGAAGTTAGAATGGTAGAGTGTGAGAAGGTGCTGAGTTCTGACCTGCCTTCTCATCTGGGTTGAATTAAGGACATTGTTTACATGCCAGCAGACATGTTTTCATGCTAGTGAAGGGAATGTAGTGGCTGCCCTCAGTTTCTGGTCAGGGCACTCCTGTTCATCCAGTTTTTATGACTCTGCTTGTGTTAGTCTGTCATGGGAAATAAATTACTGAACAGTGTCTGCTGTCCACCAACCTCTCTGGCCCTCTGGAAGTGTGAACAGCTTTCTTGATAGTACTGTTTGTACTGGCTGTGCAATGCATCGATCCCAACTTCCTCAGTCTGTTTTAGCAGAGACTATTTATTTCTTTCCTCAGACCAGAGTTCAGTTTGTGCTGCCAGCCCTGCTGCCACTACAGGAGCCCTCATTTACAACTCCACGGCTATTGGTGATTTTAATCTTTGTAGCTAAGCTCCAGTTGTCACCCCCCCCACCCCCAGTAGATTCTGTTTGTGAATCTGAAACCAACTCCTTTGGTTAGGCAGTGGAGCAGCAGGGAAGGTCCCTGTGTGTGGATGGCGTTGGTGGTGGAAATATGCATTAAAATAATAATAAAAAGAGGTTGGGCTCCTTCCATACGCTGTGTAGATCTCCTGCTGGGGCCTTGCCTGTGGATCTTTTGCTTGTAGCCTGCTGGTGATGATTCTCTTCCCTCCCCTGCCCTGCCCTCCCCTCCCCTCCTTTTCCTTCCCCTCCTAAGTGCTCTATGATAGAGTTCATTATTTCCTTTATAAATCCAAAGTTCAATATTTTTGGATTTCATCTGGATTCTGTCTACTGTTTATTGTTGACTTTCTTTGCTTTTTTGAGCCACAGTCCTCCTCCTTAAGACATGAACCTGATGATTTCATTTTTGGTTCAGGGAGATACTGCAAAGTGCTGGCTGTCTCTAACTTGTTATCTTCTTTTTATTGAACATTTTAAAACATTGGAATAGTTATAGACTCTTTCTTGAAGGGAAAAGATAATCTAAGATAGTGTAGATATAGGCCTGCATAGTTGGAGTAATGACTTAGGTGACTTCCAGATTTATTCAGCATATACTGAAATTACTTAATTAGCAGACAGTGGGCAAACGAGAAATTTCTATAACCTAGAACTTTTAGAATTTGTCACATGGAGGCAAAAAGTTAATAAATGAAATCCTGGTCTTCAAACCAGAGTTTTAGACCCCAGGCCCAAACTCCTGGACTTCCTCCATGTAGGCCCCAAATTGACCACGTGGAGAGCAATGATCTGGCCAAGAGATTCTTTATTGCTGGGTGGGAGAGGGAGAGAGCTGAGAGAGAGAGAGAGAGAAAAAGAGAGAGGCAGGTGCTTAAATACCCCTCAGTGAGACTCAGCATGATCTGATTGATTAGGATCATATGGTTCATGCTGATTGGAGGTTGGGGCACAAGGAGAATTCAAGCTAGACCTGAAGCAGGACTGTGACCCTGGAAAACAGAAGCTTAAGGGTGCAGTAAGAACTGAAACCCATCGGCGCCATTATTGCCAACACTCCACATACTAGATCTGTCTACTTACCCCTATATACCAAATAGAGACAATAATGGTCAAGGGCAGAGATAGGATATTTATTCTGTAGCCTGGGACATGCTGTGGGAAGGGACAAAGTAAGCACTTCAACCCATCTTCATCCATCTTCAGTGTAAAGACAGGAGTTGTAACTTTAAGTAGACAAGAATTAAGGCAGGAGCAAAAGGTGTGAATTGTTAAACAGTCCCAGTCACAGGTGTGTTGTGGGTGATCAGATTGGTCTGCTGCGGAAATATTGTCAGATGAGAAACCAAGTGACACTCAGAGAAGTAGGAGAACCCAGACTTTATTTTACACCAGCAGTCCCAGATGAGCTTATACTCAAAATTCTGGGCCTCCAGCAGTGAAATCACAGGATTCTTAAAGGGCAGGTCAGGGTTACAGGGAATGTGCTGTTTGCTAATAGGTGGGCTCACACTGGGGTTAGGGACCCAGGGTTGTTTAGGTGGGGGGAGGCTGATTAGGAAAGTCCACTTACAGAGGGAGACAAAGAAAGGTGAGAAGGGCAGCAAGTGATCTATAGCTGGAAGTCTTGTTTGCAGAAGAAGACAAAGCAAAGGAAGGTTATCTCAGCATGGGGCCTTTTTTCCTTGGCCCTGGACTCATTTTATGGCTTAACTAGCAATTTCTGGTCTCCCATACCTGCTTTGAGGAAATTTTTCTATTCAGGTCAGGTGGGGCCTGGATGACCATTATCTCAGAGTTTGGCCACTCTTTTCAGATCCTAGGCTAGCACCACTTCCTAGTGAGCACTGAGTGTCCAGGTATGTGAGGGCCTGCTTTGCTTGGCTTCTTTCCCCTCAGATACTGTTATAGGCAAGAATTTGGATTGCTAATGGTTTGTCCTCCCCAACTTGAATTTTGGAGTTTGTTGGCTAGTTGAAAGTGTGGTTCATGTGTTTTTGGTTTTGCTGTCTAGTTGCTCTATCTTTGAGAGCTTGTTTGGAGGCTCTATCAGGAGAGCACAGCTACTCATGCACCCTTGACCAAAGAACTGTCCTCCTCTAAAAAGGAAGGTCATCCTATTTGAGTATGTAACTTTGGGAGGCATGCACATGGAACTGTGAAGGAGAAAGTGGACACTTTCCTGTCCAGTTAGATCAGCCAAATGACCCTCACATCCTAGTTGCTGTATCTTTATGTAAAGATTCAGAAGACATCAAAAATTATGCCTTTAGAAACCTTTCCTGGGTTTCTAAATTGTTGTCATTTTAATGTATGTGTAATTAAGTTAGTTTTATTTATTTATTTATTTTTCCTTAAAAACAATTACCTCTACAGAGAAAAAGGAATTGGGATATAGAGTACCCTTCCTTTCCAGAAGAGAAGCCACTACAGTTCAGAAGAGCAGGTCTCAGGACAGGGGCATCAGCTGCCTCCCTCTCTGAAGCATGGCTCAAGTGTGGAGAAGGATTTCAGGACACTTCTGAAACTTTGGTAAAGTGGCCATAAAATTGTTTTTCCTCAATGCAGAAGGGTAAATCCCAACATTTCTGAGTGTTCAAACCATTGTAATTACATTTCTTTGAAATTCTTATTTTCTTTCAGAGCACTGTAATTGGTGCAGCACTTTTTTTTTCCCTCATCGCATAACTTTCTTTAATTGTGGCAAGTTAGTATTCATCTCCTTATGCCATGTAGAAACTTTGCATTTGTTTGTAAATGATGGATATATACTGAGAATGTTCTTAAGAGATGAAACCCTTGAACATCCCAGTCTTTACAAAAAGTATATTTATAAAATAGTTACATTTCAGAATCTTTTGGCTATGAGATTATTGTTAATATTTGTACATGTGGTACTTTTTACTGTAGAGGAATGCTATAACAAAGTTTAATGCAGGTACAGGTAGTAATGAGAAGCTCGTAAGTGGTCAGTCATATAAATGAACCAGTCATTAACATTGAGTATTAACGTGAAATGTTTTGATCAATCAGCTCTTTTTTAGATTTGGAAAAATATGAAAATAAAATTATAAGTATGTAAGGATTATGTAATTTGGGAATAGTTACATTGTGAGTTTAAGTAAAAGAAAGCATGGAGGAATTTGAAGCATGGAGGAATAAGAAGGTTATAGTTTAAGACTTTGAATATTTTATAAGACATTCGTTTTTAGCCCTTGTTATATAAATTCATTATTGTTATCATCTTGCCTGCAGTCATTGATAGCTGAAAAGGCAACTATTACCAAAAATCACCTTGATTTATCTCCAAGACCAAAGAAAGGTAGTATTACTTTGTTGATTTCTTTTTTTTAATTTATTTTATTTTTTATAATTGTTGTACTTGGGGTACATTACAATATGTCATAGTTGAATTCACCCCCCTCCTCAATTCTACTTTGTTGATTTCTTAACAGAATGTATAAGACTAAGGTATCCTTATGTGACTTTTTAAAAAAATTTTATTTTGTTTTCTTTTTAAAAAGTTACATAGTTTGAATAGATTATATATTCATGGTTAAAAAACATGAAATCAATGTGAAAAAAGATGGTTTTGAGAATTTACTCTTCATCTACATCTTATTGCATCTTGACTGTAATCTTTGGAAAAGAAGCTAAATGCTCTGAGTCTCAGTTTCTGCATCTGGAAAATGGACATAATACTGTGGGCTTCACTGATTATCACGAGTATTAAGCGAGCTAAAAAAAATTATATGCCTTCTTCAGAACCTTTTACTTGGTAGGTGCTTAATTTGATTCAGCAATTGCTGTTACATCTAATAGCATAAAGAGCTTTCTGGAAGTCTGCCCAATGTTATGCAGAATGAAATAACTTTCTGTTATTATTTCACTGACACTTAAGAGGGGTTCTTTTCTATGCAATGAAAAAATAAAATATCACAAAGTGTTTTTTTTTTAATTTATGAAACACCGAACTGTAGAATAAACTGGCTCACATCTTTTTATAATATAATAATCTTCTGAGGGAACTTCAGAATTTGACTTTTCTTCTTACTAGTGCCAAATGCTATGACATTCAAAGATCAATTTAATTCTGATTTTTAAAACATAATATATGAAGAAAACAGTTTTTAAATATAAATTTGGCTTATACTTTTCTGTAGATTCAAAAAAATTATAGTAAGTTCAGATTTGATAGAGAGTGAAATATAAATTGCTACTTTGTATTTAATTACAAAAGGATCTTTTACTATGATTTCCCCAGGCCAGAACATATTTAACTGATCCTGCCATACTTTTTATTTATAGAATAATCAATATATTTTCAAAGACTGAAAAAGCTTTTATCAACATATAATTTATTTATATCATATTCAGCTTATTAATTAAGCCAAGAAAGTATTGTTAATAATTTAATAAAGGTATACAAATAGAAAAAGACTGTAGGGTAATTTCATAGAATTGACAAATCAGTAGGTTCTATAGCATTAGTTTAAGTCAGCTTTTTAAAAAAAATTCTATACTTCATTTAGAACAAGGAAGTGATACTTTTATGAGAGCTGAGAAGCAGAGTGGGGGACATGTTTTTTTGGGGGGAAAGGGGTTTGGTACTGGGTTTTGAACTCAGGGCCTCACACTTGCTAGATAGGTGCTTCACCACTTAAGTCACTCTACTAGCACCGGGGACATGCTTTTGTAAAGTATACATAAGACAAAGGCTTTTATAATTTATCTCAGCTAGCCTTTCTTCTTGAACTTGGCTTTAATTCAAAGAATCCTTACAAGGTTAGATTTGGAATTTTAGTCAGAAACATTTGACAAAAGACATTGTTTTCACTGTTGTCAGAATTTTGTGTGTTACTGACTGGCAAAGTAACTTGCATAAAATTTCATTCACTAAATAACTATATCAGTTGGTTATTTTTATGTATTTTCTTTTTCTTTAACAGAAGCTACCATATCTAAGAGTACCCTTGAGCTTACAGATATAACATGGAGCTCCAGTGGAAGTGAGCTATCAGATGAAGATAAGAAAGTTTCTAAATCATGGAAATTTAATGAACATGGCTCTAGAATAGGCAGGTTTTGTAGCAGGAATACTCTATGTCCAGAAGATGGTGCCAGTGAAGGTAAGTTGCTAATTTAATAAGAAATCCTCTATTAAATATCTGCTAATGAAGGAAACATATTCCTTTTCTATATTTATTATGATTTTACTGAGTACTACCTCTTATGCTAAGATCTTTGAAACATTTTCTCATTTAATATTTCTCACAACAACTCTAAGAGATAGGAATGACTATATTTTTTGTTTTTATTATTACCATTAATATTACTGGGTGTTTTGAAATAGAGTCTCTCTGTAGCTCAGGCTGGCCTCAAACTTGTGATTCTCCTGCCTTCACCTTTGTAGTACTCGATTACTTGTATGCACCATTCTGGACTTACTATGTTGTTCCTAAAGTTAACATCTTAGGCTGAACTTGTTAGAATTGGCTGGAATTCCATTTTTGGTTTTTTTGACTCCAAAACCTACTCTCTCAACTTATAATGTTACACCCACGTTGCCTTCTTGCTAACTTGTTGGTACTTAGTAAATACTTGAGAACTAATGTGTGGTGGAAATAAAACTTAGTAGTAAGTTTTATATTGGTATCACATTTTAGACAATTTAAAGCAGTGTTTGCAGTGTTTCTATTTGGAGCCAGGTAATTTTTTGTTGCAGGACAACTTCTTTGTGCATCCTGTGTAGGATGTTTTACAGCATCCCTGGTCTCTACCCACTGGATCATATTAGTATCCCTAGCCACACTTTAATAAAGTAAAAATGTTTCCAGCTGTCGTTAAAGACCTGCTAAAGCACAAAATCACCTTTAGCCGATAACCACAAATGTATATTGTGGAAATCATGTCCTTTTACAAACTTTAAAAAGATGTAGCTATCTAATATATTTGAAAGTCTTAGTGTTTTCAAAATAAGCTGTGACTTTTAACTCTCATAGTTCATGTTAGTTACTTGGTCAAGGTTAGGTTTGGACAGGCAACCTCTCTTGAAGGTGGTTAAATTCCTTTGACCACTTTACATGCCATTTGGGTAACTACCACTGACATTTTTGTAGTTACCAGATGAAGTAGTATTTTAAGTTTACATATAGGTGGCTAGGGCTTATGTTATTAATTCAGCCATAGTGTGATGTAACACTTGGTTTTATTTATTTTACTAAAAATCATATTCTTTTTATCAGTGAATAGTATGGGATATGAATTAAAAACATATGTCCTCTTCTATTCAAAGAAATATTTAGTAGTTTCCAAAACTGTTTATAAAAGGAAAGATTCTTTGAACTAATTGCTTTAAAATGAGTTACCACATTGTTGACTTCTCTTACAAAGTTTATCCTTAGATAATAAGCAAATGGCCCCTTGGATTACATATAGGCATGCTCATAGGTACTAAACTCTTTCCCTCCCTCTTCTCTTCTTTCTTCCCCCCATTCCTTCCTTCCCGTTTACCTTTAATGAATGACAACTGTTGCCGTTTATTAAGATTTTATTTTGTCCAAGACATTAAGTTGGGCATTATGCATACTATTTCCTTTTATATTTACTATATCCTATGATGTAAAAGTATCCTCATTTTATTAGAAGAAAATTGGGATTTAGAAAGTCAAGTGACTGCCCAGAGTCACGTAAGTGCACCAGTTATATTCAAAACTAAAGATGTCTAATTTCAGTGCTATGTGGTGGTTGCCAAACCTGGCTTCATAGCAGAAGTAACTTTAAAAACAATATTCCTAGATCTTCTGGCAGCCCTAAAGGATTAGAATTTCTTGGCGATAAGTCCCAGAATTGGAGTTAAAAAGGAAGAAACCTAAGTTAAAATTGTCAAAATACTTTTCTCTTAAAAATTCCCACTCTATTTTTAATATAACTTTGGTAAAATCTCTTAACTTACTGCAGACCTAATATCCTCACCTATAAAATGCACATTTTAGTCTAATAGTAGTTGTCTTGTTGCTTCATGAAATTATTGTGACCGAATGAAATTATTCATGATTAAATTATTCATGAAATTATTGTTCCCATCTTGCTTGTGGTGTATCACTTGATGTCACTCATTACATTATTCATCTGTGGGTTACTACAGGGTTGTGTTGGTTTCTCTCTTGTATTTATTTTGTAATATGCATGTCTAGTTTGTTATGATGGACTCTTGGTAGGTACTTACTCTGTTGAATGAAAAAGTAAGTGAATGAATGAGTACTACATAAGTGTGCAGTACTGGCAGCAGCTCTGAGGGCATGCTCTCCATGGCTTCCTGCTGTGATGGTTCAGCAACCTGGAGAATTTCTCATGCATTCCTCCACTGGCTTCCATGACTAAATGTGAAGTTAGAGGTGAGAAGATGATTCTCTTATGTATCTGCTTCTCTCAGTGAAGCAGATTCACTGATTCCCAGTCTTTTATAATCATTATGGTGGACTTTTACTGCATCTTCTGAAATAATAATATCAAGTTAAAGAATTACTTTGTTTTTACTCTCTCCCATATTTTAACTTTAGCTTATTTTTTTCTTTTGTTTTTAAATTTTAAGTTCCCTTCAGGTACTAAAGCTAGATATTTTTTCTTTTTAATAATATTACTTCATTTATATGGAAGTGAGATTGTTGCTATCAGACCTCTGAAATAGGACTATATCTTACTAGTTTTCTGAGTTGCTGAAGGTAGGAAGTAGCTGTGAGAGAATATCCATGCTTTGTCTTATAGAGAACATTTGTGTTATATATTGAAATTTATCTTTAATAACTACTTTCAGTTATTTATGCACAGCAGATTAGAATCAGTTTATTGGTTATTTAATAGATGAACACAATTTAGCTTTCTCACTTAAAATTTTGTAAAAGTAGTATCAGGATAATGCTTATAAGCTAAATTACAAACTGAGTTTGGTTTCCTTACTGAAGAAAGAAATCTGTAGAAGAAACATAATTGGTAAAGACTTTGAAAGTCATGTCTAGGGTCAGGTGTAGTAGCTCACTGCTGTAATCCCACCCACTTGGGAAGTAGAGATTGATCAGGAGGAGTGTAGTTTGAGGCCAGCCCATTCAAAAAAGTTAGTGAGACCCCAATTCAAGCAGCTGGGCATGATGATGTGCGCCTGTGCATCCGAGCTACGTGGGACGCGTAAGCAGGATGACTGGGGCCCAGACTGGCTCTGGGCAAAAATGTGAGACCCTATTCAGAAATGAAGACCTGACTGAAGAGCACCTGCCTAGCAAGTTCAAGGCCCTGAGTTCGGATCCCAGTATAGCCCCCCCCCAAAATAAGTAATTTCTAATGAAGGACTTTAAACAAACTATGGTGCACTGATGCAATGGAATAATAAATTTTAAGAAGAATTAGGATACTTCCTGATAAGGAAAAAAATCTCTTCATTATGTTAAATGAAAAAAATCAAGATACGTAAGAATGGAGGAAAATATATATATGCTGTATGGAGAAACTACAGGATTCAAAAACAACTAATAAAAATAGTTAACTTAGAATTCTAGTGAGGGGTAAAAGTTGGGAGAAACAGTGATTAGAGAGAAAAATAGAATATATTTTCACTGTCAATGTATTTTAAAAAATCGTCCAATGTCAGGGATATATTAACTTCTGAGAATAAAACATTTTTAAAAAGAAATATTACAGGGATATAAAATTAAGAAAATTAAAAATTATATTTTTTAGATGAATTACAGTTTATTGACTGGGAGATCAACAGTGACAGGGAAGATGCTGGTGATTACAGTGAATGTGAAGATGGCAAGGGAGCCATGGAAATCTCAGATAGTGATTCCTGTGCAAGTAGTCATTCTTTGACAAGTGATGACAGGCTATCTGAGCTTCCTAAGGTAAGAATGATTTCAAAAACTTTTGCTCTTTTTATAGCTTTGTTAATCATAACCCTTTAGTGATCCCACTTTTAACCCTCCCTTCTCAGAGCAACCACTTTTGACTCTGAGTGAATTCTTTTACTCTTAACCCCTTTGTCTCTAAATACCAGGCTTGTGTTGTACAAGCTCTCTTGCTACTCACCCTTCACTCTCAGCTATACCCTGAACATTTTTGTCCTTCCATTCTCCCAGTATAGGTATCAAGGTTTGGTTAGATTAGTAGTCAACATTTACATATTGTGAAGCAACAATATTGATAACCAAGATATTATTTATTATTTTCTTCCATAGCTTTTTGTATTTCTTGGACTTAGAAATTATTTTGGTTTTTTATTCATCTAGTTTTACTTACCATTAATAAAATCTTAATATGTCACCATTGCTTATATTCATATTATAACACCATAATTCTAGGAATTTCTTTGCAGAGCTGTCTCTTGCATGGAGCTCCATTTTATCCTCTATTTCATGTTTTCCTCCTTTGTTTTCATACTTGTTTAGGTTTAACACATCTTCTAGTAGTTTCTGAGAAATGATTTGTAGAGGATTTTTTTGAGTGTTGGCATGTCTGAAGATGCTTTGATCATACATTGATAAATGATTAAAAACTTGTATAGAATTCTGGGTTAGGGATGACTTTCAAATAATTTTCAAAGCTTTAGAAGCATTATTTGCTTGTCTTTTTAGCTCAAGGGTTACTGTTAAAAAGTTCTTCTCATTCCTGAAGTTCTTCTCATTCCTGATCTTTTAAGATTTCTCTACAACTGGTTTTAAGCAATTTGATTGTTATATGGCTTGATATGGTTTTCTGCTTGGTGTTTATCAAGTTTCTTAGATCTCTGGTGTTTTGGGAGTCTTCAAGACCAATAAGGCTAATACTTATAGCCAGGTGGGATGGTGCATGACTGTAATCTCAGCTACTGGGGAAACTGAGGTAAGAGGATTGCAATTTCCATGCCAGCCTGGGCAACTCTGAGAGACCCAGTCTCAAAAATACAATAAAGGTCTGATATAGCTCAGTGGTAAAGTGTTTGCCTAACATGCATGTGGCCCTGGGTTCAATGACCATGAACCCCCCACCGCTTGGGAGAAAAAAAAGATCAATACTTCTTATCTCTCATCTTTCTGGGGTTTGAACCCAAGGCCTCAGTATGCTAGACAAGCACTCTACCACTGAGCTACATCTCCAGGGCATCTTTCATCTTTTGATAGTAACCATTCTAACAAGTATGGGGGGGATATTGCATTGTGGTTTTAACTTGCATTTCTCTGATGATTAGTGATGATGTGCATTTTTTACATATGTTGGCCATTTGAATGTCTTCTTACAGTATAAAGGCTCCTCAAAAAACAAAATAGAACTACCATTTGACCCAGTCATCCCACTTCTGGATATTTATTCAATGGAATTGAATCCATATGCTGAAGAGATATGTGCACCCCCGTGTTCATCATAGCATTGTTCATCATAGCCAAGACAAGGAAGCAACCTAGGTATCCAATTTTAGGTGAATGGATAAATAAAATGTGATACATATACACAATTGAATACTATTCAGCCTTTAAAAAGAAGAAAAAGCACTGCCATTTATATAAGAACATTGATGAGCCTGAGGGACATTCTGCTAAGTGAAATTAACCAGGGACACAAGGGCAAAAACAGGTTCAATATCTGTTATCTGAAATGCTTGGCATCAGAAGTAGTATAGATTTTTTTGATTTGTGAGATACATAATGAGATGTCTTGGGGATGAGATCAAAGTCTAAACATGAAGTTAATTAATGTTTCATATACTCCTTATATACACAGTTTGAAGATAATTTTATGTAGTATTTTTAGTGTACTTGTCCTTTATTTCATTTGTTTTTATTGCTGCACTGGAGGTAAATTTTGACATTTACCAAGTTCTTACAATATATAACAGACATATTGCCCAGGCATGGAATTTTCCATTTGTGGTGATGTTATCAGCATTCAAAAAATTTCAGATTAGGGATGTTCAATCTATATTCTCTACTCCAATGTTTTGGAACTCTTCCTTTAAATAACATCAATTACATGTTTGGTAGAATTTAGCAAGGAAGCCATCAGGGCTCAGTCTTTCTTTGGAGCATTAAAAAAAAATTCCTTACTTATTAATGATCTGTATAAATTTTCTATTTCTTCATGATTCAGTGTTGTTGGGTTATATATTTCTAAAAATATATGCATTTTTTTCTAGGCTGTGCAATGTGTTGGTATGTAATTGTTCATAGTAGTCTCTTAGGTTCATTTCTTTTTGTGTATGTAGTATCAGTTGTAATGTCTCCTCTTTCATTCTGTCATTTCCCTTAGTCTTTCCTTTTTCCTTAATCTATCAGTGTTTTTTATATTTTCAAAAAGACCAGCTCTTAGTTTGATCTTTTCTATTATTTTTCTAGTCTCCATTTCATTTATTTGTACCCTCATTTTTATTATTTTCTTTTTTCTACCAACTTAGGACTTAGTTTGTGCTTTCTTTATTCCTTTTAGGTGTGTTGTTAGGTTGTTTACTTGAGTTGTGTGCGTGTGTTGCTTGTGATCACACTCAGGGCCTTGTGTGTGTCAGGCATGTGGTCTAGCACTAAGCTACATTGCCACAAGACTTCTTTCTTCTTCTCCTTCTACTCTTCCTCTTCTTGCTCCTTCTCTTCTTCCTCTGCCTCTTCTTCTTCCTCTTTTTCTTCTTCATACTGTTACTTTTCCTTCCTCTTCTTTTGTCGTCTTCCTCTTCCTACTCTTACTTCTCCTTCCTCTTCATTCTTCTTTTTCCTCTTCTTCTTCTGACAGCGTCTTACTCTGTAGCTTAGGCTGGCCTAAAACTCCAGACCCTCCTGCTTCTGTTTCCTGAATGTAGGGATTACAGATGTGCAGCATCACCCCTGACTCTTCTTTTTCGATATAGGTATTTATTGCTATAAACTTCCTACTAGAACTCTTTCTGCTGCATTCTCTAAGTTTTGGTGTGCTATGTTTCCATTTTTGTTCGTCTCAAGATATTTCATTTCCTTTTATTTTTCCTTTGATTTGTTGATTATTCAGAAATCTGCTCTTCAATTTTCACATATTTGTCACTTTTGTATGGTCCATCCTGTTACTGATTTGTAGTTTTGTGTCATTATAGTTACAAAAAAGAAACACTTCATAGGATTGAGTTCTTCTTAAATTTGTTAAAACTTCTTTTGTGACTCATCCTGGAGAATGTTTTATATGCTCTTGAGAAGGATTTGTTTTCTACTTCTGTTGTATGGAATGTTATATATATGTCATTTGCTCTAAAGTATTGTTTCTTATTCATTTTCTATATGGGTAGTTTGTACATTGCCGAGAATGGAGAATTAAAATACCATACTAATTGTATTACAGTTCATCTCTCCCTTCAGATCTATTAGTATTTTATTTATTAAAGTACTGGTGTTGCATTTAAGATTGTTAAATCCTCGTAATGAACTGATAAACTTACCATTTGATAAAATGAACATCTTTGTCTCTCTGTACAATTTGTGACTTAAAATTAACTTAATCTTTTTGTTTTTTTTCCTTTTAGACTTTTTTTTTTTTTCGGTGTTGGGGTTTGAACTTTGAGCCACTCCACCAGCCCAATTTTTCTGATAGTGTTTTTCAAGATAGGGACTCATGAATTATTTGTCTGGGCTGGCTTCGAACTGTGAGCCTCCTGATATCTGCCTCCTGAGTAGCTAGGATTATAGGTGTTTGCCACTGACACCTGGTTCTTTTAGACGTTTTAGACAGGGTTTTGCTATGTAACCCAGGCTGGCTTGACTCTTATGATCCTCCTGAGTACTGGGATTACAGGCATGCACTACCACACTCAGCTTGTCTATTGCTGCTTTTATCTGGTTTCCATTTGCATAGGATATCTTTTTCCATCCTTTTGCTTTCTCTGTATGTGTTCTTAATGGTCCTTTCACTTTCTCTGTATGTGTCCTTAATGGTGTAGTGACTTTTGTTTTGGTGCAGTGTACAGGTGGGTCTTAGATTTTTCTTTTTTTCTTTTTAATCCGTTCAGCCACTTTTGATTGGAGAATGTAATTTATTTTTGAATCTCAAACTGATTTATTTTGATGGCAAAATGTACATATATAATTTATTTAAATTCAAAGTAACAATTGATAAGTAAAGACTTATTGCTAACATTTGGTCCTTTGCTTTGTAAATGCTTTTTTTTAGTTCCTCTTTTGTTTTGTTGTCTCACCTAATGAGTAAGTGGTTTTCTGTGATAGTATGCTTTCATTCCTTTTTGTTATAAGGGGAAAAAAAATAAAACTTTTGTGTATCTATTGCACGTTTTTGCTTGTGGTTGCCAGGAGGCGCATTTAACAGTCTTATTTTTAGTGGCTAAAAATTTCAGATAATTTTTTTAAAAGTCTATACACTTCTACTCTGTTCCCACTATATTTTATGTTTTGATGTCACATTTTATATCTTTTCTATGGTGTATGCTTTAACTAATTATTGTCATTATTATTTTTATGTTTGTATTTTATCCATCATACCGAAGATACAAGTAATTTATACACCACTGTTACAGTATTAGATTATATCAGATTTGAGTATGCACCTTAATTTACTAGTGAGGTTTATACTTTCATATTATTAACAAGTGTTTCCCCTCCCCCCTCTTTGTTATACTAGGAACTGAACCTAGGGCCTTTCACTTGCTAGACAAGCACACTACCATTTCAGTTATGTACCCAGTGCCTTTTTTGTTATTTTATTCAAGACATGATCTTGATATGTTGCTGAACTCCAGTTTGTGATCTTCCTGCCTCTGTCACTTGAGTGCTTTGATTCATCTGGATCATAAGTGTGTTTTACTTTCATCTTGTCAAACTCCCTTTAGCATTTCTTATGGGTAAGATGTAGTGGTGATGAACTCCTTCAGTTTCTGTTTGTCTCTTCTTCCTTTCTTTTTGTT